TACAAAGTTAAAGCAGATTTTTTTTAATATTTGGATAGTTCTCTCTGACTGACCATCTGTTTTGGGATAAAAATTGTACTAAAAGTCAGCTTTATACCCAAAACTTGAACTTTTCTCTACAATATAGATGTGAATCTGTTGTCTCAATTAAAACAAAGTAATTTTGGGACTCTATACAAGAACAATTTCATCAATATAAATTTTTGCTAATTTATCTAGAGAATACATCTGTCTAATGGACAAGAAATGTTCAGATTTGGTCAGACGATCAATAATCACTCGTATAACATCATGACCATGCTTTGATCTTGATAGCCCAATCACAAAATCCATATCAGTGCCCTTCCACTTCCATTATGGGATAGACAACTGTTGCAATAGCCCACTAGTCTTTTGATGCCCAACCTTAACCTTCTGATAAGTAGGACACTTGCCACGAACTTTGCTACACTGCGCGTCAATCCTGGCCACCAGAATAATCCATTGAGCTTCTGAAACATTTTATTGCTTACTGGATGTATTGTAAATCCTAAAAAGTGTGCCTCATTCATTTTTTTTTTCCGTAAATCATTCCATCAAGAATGCAAATTCTATTCTTATATATGAATAGTTTTTTTTCATCAATTTCATATTTCTCCATATGATCTGCTTTCACCTGGTCTAATAAATTTTCAAACTTGGCATCATGCGTGATGCATCTTGTATCTTATCTTTCAGAGTTGACTGAATTAACATTTGATTCAAAAATGCAAAACCCTCATCATTTGGTGTCACATTGATAACTGAAAACACTCCATATCTTTAAGTTGCTCTTCTTGTTTTGTAATTATCTGATTAACACTGCCACTTGTCTGTCTGCAACTATATTTGTTTTTCGTGGATGATAGTGTACATCTGTATCATAGTTTCTAATGAGCTTAAACCATCATCTTTATCTTAAATTCAGTCCCTTCTGTGTGAAAATATACTTCAAGTTTTAGTGATTTCTGAACACTTCACACATGATTTCATATAAACAATGCCTTCATATCTTCAGAGCAAATACAACTGCTGCTAGCTTCCGAGATAATTCTTCTCATGACTCTTCAATTGCCTATAGGCATACACAATTATCTTCCAATGTTGCATAAGCACACACCCTAGTCCTCTTAAAGATGCACCCCGGTAAATTTGGAAGCCTTTAATCTCGGAGGGGATCGTCAATATTTGAGTTGTCATCAAACAGCTTTCCAATTCTAAAAAGCATCCTCATAACGATCTGTCCACTCAATTTTCACTGCCTTTTGAGTTAATTTAGACAAAGACATTGTAATATGAGAGAACCTGTCAATAAATCTTTTGTTATGTAACAGTGGTTGGTATGGGACAATCAACTATCACTTGAACCTTTTTTTTAGGTCCACTGAGATACCTTCCTAATTTAGACTCAAAATCTCTTCTTTCTTATAGCTTACAGCCGCCCATGATGCCCTAAAATCGTCCTCATGAGCATATGTATAGTTGGGCTCAGCAAAGGCAAGAAAATTCTTGCCTGAATAAGTCCAGCACGTCCGGCATGGGTGTGTTGTGACTACATTGCTGGTGCGCCGCGAGTTGAGAAGTGGTCGTGCGCAGGTGCGCTGCCATGGGTGCGGACGCTTTATAGTGAGCGCGGGTGCGCTTTGATTATGATGCCCTGGAGAGAGGCGTGGGTGTGCTGGTCCAGAAACTTCTTTATTGTGCTGATTTCCGTCTTTTTTCGCTCAAAATTTACGCCACTCTGTCCCCTGCACAAATAAGGCAAAAATATACTTTTCAAGCATAATATCACTATAAAAAGATGTAAAAACATGGAGAAACATGCCAGAAAATATCACATGTTTAGTTTATACACCTTCCCATTATTTAATTTTTGGACAAAAACAAAACATCCAAAAACCTGCAATGGATCATCTGTGCCACAAGCAGATTCAAGGCAGCAACAATATGTGAAGACGACCGTGATAGCAATAGGATGTAGGAAGCTTGTCAATGATTGAAGCAACATAACGGAGTATTGCTGCTGGGTTTGTTACAAAGACAAACAAGCAAAAACTAATAACTAGATGTAAAATCATTCTACCTGTTTTATTTTAGTTTCATGTGCATTAGTGCATGTTGCTAGGTTTAACAAGTAAGAAAATTTTGATGAAAATGAAAAGTCAAAAGTGCATCATAATAGTAACATATCAAAAATTGTATTTTAAAATAAATTTAAACTTTAAAGTACGTTTAAAATGCACGTGAACTCATAGTAACAAACAAACTTCCTAAAATAACCTTTTTGAATGTTTTATGTTAAATTGGGCTCAACTGTAAACATGTACACAGCTAGAAGGCCTCTTGCATTCTTCAAATGAAAAAAAATGATGTTTTACCCCTTCAAGTTAGGAAGCTTCTCAAGAACCTTAGGAGCATATTCATATAAAGACTATTGGTCCTTGTAGGAGCAGAAATTGATTGATTTTCCAGATTAGCTTGATTAACTTGGCTATAAAACCATATTTTCCAATTTTTCTCTATAATAACTACAAAGATTTTGGCATAAAGATAGAAGAATATTATCAAACAAGCCTCTGCAAGATAACGAGTGTCTATGTAAAGTGGAGTGGTCACTGACTGTCTCAATCAGCATTCTCTCATTAGAAGCCAAGTATGAGCACTTGAATTTCACATATTAATGGTGGAATATGATTATTTTGACATGCTCTAGATTTAGAGAAATCAGCTTTTTGATGACCTTATCATAATTTTGGTGTTTAAATTGAGAAGCTATTTGAAACGCCAATCTCGATTGTGATTATTCTTACTGATAGTTGCATTGAACAAGATGCGGAAGGTTAAGCAGCTATTAGAACGAGAAGCTGAAAGTTTGGTATCATGTGGAATTTCTGACTGCTACAAGAGAATCAAGTACTTTGTTAAGGATCCCTGAAATATCTTTTGGCATGCTTTTTAAAGATGGAAGATATGCATTTAGGTGGATACCAACATGTGCAACAGGATATTCATTCTGAAGTTTCAGCACCAAAAATCTCAAATCTATTGCAATTTATGTGGCTTGTTAATGCATGAATTTGGATGCTTAACGATTGAACATCAGCAGTTCTCTGCAAAATATTTAGGAAGAATATAATAAAAGAAAGCAGCAGTGGTTAATTGTTGGAAATACTGACAAGAAGAGAAAATGACTAACAAATTCTCCTTTCCAAATCTATCCATATAATATTATATATCCACCTACAAAATTTCTTCTTTACCATATTTCCTTTTTGCAGAAAGCCTTCTTGTGTTTTAACTTGACGCATGAAGACATATGATTGCAATCCAATACATTGACAAAAAGAAGAATAGAGTTTGATTTGTAACAACCTGTATCATCATTTTTCTTTTCTTGGTCTCACAAGCATCAGGTTCCATTCCAAATGGATGTAGATATTAAAGGATGTAGATATTAAAGTGCATTCCTAAATTCCATTCAAATTATTTGTGTCTTGTAATATATCCAGTGATTTCTTACAGAAAGCTGGAACTGGACATTAAGGCTGATATCTTTTGAGAATTTCATGCTGTAAAAACTGGTTCAGCAATTAAATCCTTTTTCTTAGAAATACAACTAATTCATCTAATAGTGCTTTAGAGCTGTACGGCTTTTCGGGCTTGCTTTATTAACAGCTTTCTTGGCTTGCTTTATTAAAGGAATCAGCTTATTCAATCACTTCCATGGATTGAGTAACAAGGTAGAGAAGGCCAGTATTGGTTAGAATTAGGGGCATTTCATACTTCCTAATTTCTATATATTTACATATCCAACAGCTAAATTTTACTTTTAACATTTAAACATTTATACCACCCAAATAACATTTATACCACCCAAATCTTTCTTATCACATCAAAAATATCCCCATTTTAACTATTAATAAGTGAAATACACCTTTTTGTGCATATATATGGTGTCATATATCTAAAAATTGAAATTAAGGTGCTAGATATGTAAATGCATAAAAATTGAATGGTATTTATGTAACACTTCATTAGAATTATTTGGATTCTACCACTTTTCATCATAAACTTGCCAGGAGCACAAAGGCCCTGCTCCTCTCCATAAATCAGGGAAAATACTTTAAAGGTTTTGTGACTGATTTCACTGACTGTTTGCTTTAAAGTTTGTTTAATCTATCTAAAAATGAATAAAGTATTTCCTGCAGAAATATGATAATATTAATTGATTGTCACAATGGCCATAGAAACATGAAGCTTTTGTACTTTTTGAGGGGAAATGTAACGGTGACTTTCATTACAACCCCAGTTATTCGAATCTAAAGCCATAATTCAAATTTAAGCCTATAATTATCCAAAAATGGATAATTAATCCTCCTATTATAAATAAACAAATCTAGAATTAAAATTTCATAAATAAATTGTAAAATAATGGAATTAAACAAAGCTGGATCAGAATACTATAGGGAGACGAAAGGAAAGATTTTTGTCAATTCCAATTCAACTCTAAAGTTACAAGTCTGTTGCCATATTTATAGAACTAAGTTTTATTGAAAATTACAAATTACGACGATTTATTGAATATTAAATGCCAAACTAATCATAGATGACAAATTAGGACATGGAACTTGAAATATCTAACATGTAATGACACAAATATTAGTCATGAGGGAAACATCCTGTACTGTATCATATGTAGGAAACATTTTCTGCTGCTAGGTTCCAAGGGACAAACAAGTGTAGATTTGACTGAAAATCATATTGATGGTCGTGGGGATGTCTTGCCAAATATTTTGTTTCTTTTGATTAATGGTATGAATTTAAATGTAGGCATTTTCCAGTCCCGTTGTTTGTGACAGCTATTAAGTTTTGGGCCATGCTTGTTCCAGTTTTCTCAACATTCCGTACCACTCAATGTCTTGATGTCATCTCAAATATATGTTGCTTGATAATTTTCCTATCATTGTCTTTTTAATTTGAAGCCTTGGCGAAACAAAGGAAAGAAACATTTCTATCAGAATTAAAGAAGTCATCAACCACCTCTACAATCAACTCATCGAAGGTAATTAGATTATATATTTCTCCCATTTTTTGTGAGCACAATGCGATAATAGTATTATTTTTTTTTTGTATTGCAGAGTCTTCTTTTTCTTTAATTTCTTCATTGAATCCTGCATTTCTTTTTAATCCTCATTTCATTATTTTAATTCAGAGTTCTACCATCTTTTTTTATTCAGTTGGTCTGATTTGCTTTGCAAATTTAAGGTGGCTACACTGCATTTAATTTAATTGTTTTTGTTTTTTCAAACATATTTTCATATGGACAAATTGCACATGCACATGCATAGCATATATGTTATATAATGATTGTGTTTGGTAAACATGGATACGCTTCTGAGAGCATCTATTGTAGTATACGCCATTATAACCTATATGTAGCCAAGCGTAATAATTACTTTGCCCTCTGAAAATTTTCATTCTTCATAGCTTAAGAACATAGCGTTATCCTCATTTTTGGATGGATTTTTTTGAGGAAATTCCATTCATTCTGATTTCATTGAGCAGCCATTCATTTGGCTCAAATGTTCATTTATGGAGTACTAAAACGTTAATTATCATTGTGATCATTTGCATTAATTTTTTCAATATCCTTTGCATTATATTTGTTTCTCTTCTATCAATTTGTTTATTAATATTATCAAACCTTTTTAAAGATGCATTTGGTTGCAGTCCTTGTTAAATATTGTATTCAATCTATGTTCATTCTCTTCTCTGCTGCATACACTTCTCTTTTATATGAAACTTTCCAATTCTATCTCTTATTTGTTCAAATCACCTTTTCGTTTTAATTACTTTAGAACCTTCTTTAATATGCAAGCTTCTTACTTCATTCCTTCATAACTTTTCGAAAATTGATTCGATAATTTCAATTTTCATATTGAATCACTTGCTTTATTTTTCTCTATATTGGTTGTCAACTATATCTATAATGATCTTGATTCCTTCATAACATGCATCACTGTTTTTAGGAATGTAAAATCTTTGTCCGCTTCTCAACATGTAAAATGACTAGAAAATGCTATTATGTTCTTGCCTATGTTTTTTTTTTTTGAAGGGATGTGCTTGTCTTTGTTAGAGCTCTGTCAATGAGTATCATAATTTGAAAGGTCGGTGCTTCTATTTTCTCCATGGTTCTATTCTTTTTATTGTTTTTTCAGTTTTAAATAGAACAAGTTGTACTCTCGAAGCGCAACTTCTAATGTTTCTAATGTTTCAATCCAATAACTCCGTGAAAGTTTGCGTTAAAATCTCATTTGTATGTAAAATTTTTTAGCAGTTCTGCTTATTTGCAAATTCTAGCATTTTTCCTTTTCATTACAAGTGAATGTTTGATGCTGAAATTCATTAGTACAATTTCTCTTTTGTCAATAATCTAACTATGTTTTTCTTCAGTAATGTATATTTCTTTATAAATTTGTATTCGACTTTTTTTTAGTTCTATAACATCTAGCATTTGCCTCTCATTTTATTTAAATGAATAATCAACTATAGAAACACAGTAATATATGATATATGTAGTTTAATTTGTCATAGTCAAATTGAGTTTTTCTTCGAGCTTGGATTCATTGATTTGAGATATTGATTTAGTTGGCTTCATGCAGGTTTCCCATTTTAATAAAAACAATGATGAAGAACCAGCATGGGCTCCTTTACGTGATGGTTACATGCTGACAAGCTCGAAGTTGAAGGACTGGGATAAAATGGAGGTAAAAGCTTGCCATGCTTGATTCACTCTCTTGTTCGTCCATGAAATATGTATGTTTAATATATATATATATATATTTATTCAGGATTCTGCATATATTGGTGGGCACTCAAACATACCATCTGATGAAAGCCTTGCTGATGATGATTAGAATAGATTGTTTCTACTTGTGTAATGCAGGTAAATTGGAAAGTAAATGTTCTACCTAAAGAAATATCGTTACACTTTAAAATAGATGTATTTATTCTCATCTCTTTGAGGCTTCGTTAGATGCTTTTCAGAGATTTATATTGAGTTCTTCTATTTTATCTTTTTTATGTTTATATCAAAACATTTATGTAGAATGGATTTAACTGACTTGATTTTATCATCACTTATATGGTAAGTCAACTGCATTTTTAATAATGTTCATTTTGAGCCGTCATTTCTGAATTAACTTTGTTTTTTTTCCTTCCATTTGAAGGACATGCAAATAAACATAAGTGCCTGAAAAATGGTTTTTGTGTGAGTTCTTATTTTGGCATTAGCTTGAGTGCTGCACCCTCTTTGATACAGGAAACTTATCAATGTATAGGTTTTCGATGATGCAAATTTATTGGTTAAAAAAGTTAAATATTAAATGCATTTTTATGAATTATAGAGGTGCGGTATGATCCCGAAAATATAGTTGTGTAAAACTTATAAAGTTGACTCCGTTTTACAACGATGCCAAAAATTTGATGCGTTATTTTATGAATAAGAAATTTAAGCAATTTATGTTGGGATTCTACGCAAGTATACGTATCGTTAACAAGTAATGTAAGACTTTCTATTTAAGCCCCAAATATCGATCCCACGAGGAAGGATTAAATTTGAAATGATAAATTAGATAGGAAATTCACAAAAATAAAATGAAATTACTCTCACTAATTTCGAATTGTTTGAGATATTATTAGAACTAAATTATTAACTACTAGCAAAACTAAAATGCAAAGTTTAAACAGTAACTGCTAAACTATGCTTTATGTGATGAAGTTTTCTAATATGAAAAAACATCTTTCCCACTACAATGAGTTTTTGGTAAAATGAGATGAGATAAATGGTTTTAGTATGTATTGTGCCAAATAGGAGTAATTTTAATTCTTTACCCTGATTCAGTGTTATAGATATTCATTGACTAATCTCAGGTTTAGTATCTAAATTTGTGGTTAGGCCAGAGGATACTTGCTCTCACTCCAAAGCTCCCACTTTCCTTCCCTTGAAGGCTAACACTCGCTTTAGTTCTTAAACACTAAGACCGAATTGAAGATTTTAGTCTGTCACCCTAAAATCTCCAATTCTACACCCAACAAAGTATATTTCCCTATTTATTTGCACTTAATTCTATGAACGAAATACTTCATGGAATTAAATATGATTCTCACTCTTGTTGTATAACTCATACTCCATTTCCCGGATCATATGTTTCACAATATATTTTAACAATTTAGTTGACCAGATCGAAAAGAAAATTAAGAAATGAGTTGAAAAACCATCACAATTTATTTTATATTTTAAAATTGGCACATTTAAATTATCTCTTCGTTTCACCATATCTCAGAGTAGGGAGAAAGATAAAGAAAACTACTCAGACTTCATGAGAAAGATACAACAAAACACAAATTTCATATATAAAAGAAAATTTATACAACAATAATAAACAAACAACACTTATCTGAAACTCTTTCTCAAAACAAATCTTTTGTAGTCTCTCTTAGATGATGTAGGAAGAAGAAATCTATCATTTCTCTCCCTCTCTAACACTCTTAGAGAAGAATTCACACTTAAACTCACCACTAAAACTCAAAACTTTAAAGAAATAAATGACTAATGGACTCTAAGTGGCTGTGGGGAATGTGGAATAGCGTGAAAGAGAGTGGAAAGCGGTCGAAGAGGGTCTTTTCTGATCAATTTCCGCTCTAAATAGAGCCTAATGTCGGTTTTCCAATAGGTGCATCCAAAAACTCTTCAAAAAGCGTCCAAACTTGTTGAATCTTCCTTGTTGAATCTTCTAGATTGTTGAATCTTCTAGAAATAGGTCTTGCACCGACATTGGTGTCGTCGACGCCCATTCTGGCGTCTTCGGCGCCAATGGCATGCGAATTAATTCCGTGATCTCTGTTAAATGGCGCCGTCGGCGCTGCTCCTGGCGCCGTCGACGCTGAGGATAGTTCGACCTCTGTTTTGTAGGTATGCACCGTCGGCATCCATCTGGGCGCCGTTGGTGCTGAGTATTTCTTCAAAAACGTCATTTTGACTTCAAAATCCATCATTTTGCTTCCTTTTTGTTTCAAGTTCTAAAAATCAACAACATGCAATAAAACATAAAAATAACTTCCATTAAAGTGTAATATCACCAAAAATTAGTATAAAATATGAAAAAATGAGTATAAAATATAGGTCTAAATATGCATATATTTTTGGTGTATCACAGTACAGTCAACAACATATTGGATGCAAAAAAGTCATGCAATGATTCACAAGGAAGCTCATTAGTGAAGCTAGCATGATTAATTACTATTCGAGGTGTGTCATTGAAAAATAAAAGAAACAAAAATCTATATGAAACAATCATACATTACTTATCATTAGAAATTCAAGGCACAAGAGGTGAGAGACCATAGAAGCGGAACAACATTTGAAAGTCATGTAATTCTTGGGAACCAAATTTCATGGAATATATATTAATCACTAAACCAACAATGAGTGATAGATACAGGGAATGGAGTTAGGAAGATGGCATGAAGGAAAAGGAAGAATAATTCGATCTGATGCGATTCTACCATCTCTTATTAAAGGATCATACCTAGGAACAAGAAAGACTACATAAATATGAAGGAAAGAAATTATTTTTTTGTATTACATAATCACTACTGCCTATGCTTCTGCTCCTTTTTAGTAGAAAGGCAAGCACGGCAATGTTGAAAAATCCAAGCATGAAAACTATCTTTTCCTCTGTCATCTGGAATCAATGCAAATGTAAATATGCTATATATTTTAATGTAACTTACGCAGGCATGCCATGAGATACATTAAGAGCTACTTAACAAATGATACTAGTAAGTGACTTTAGCTTTTGAATGTTACATGCATGATTTTTTTTTACACCTTATGGTGCCATTATGATGGAGTATGTTAATGGACTGTAAAATTTGTTTGACCCATAATTCCTGAATTCCAAGCAAGAGATTGGCATTTTTAATACTATTATATATTTTCATTTTTATGGCATGAAAGATCAAATCCACCTTATGATTAGAACATTATGTAGTAAGGCCTGAATATTTTTGTTGAATTTCAATTTTACACAGTCTAACCTAAAGCTTTCCGATCTACACCAAATGCATCTTAAAACAACAAATGCCAAATAAAACCGTGAATATGAATTTCTATCAAAATCTGTAAACTTCTATTTTCTTATTTTATCCGACATTCATCAAAATTTGTAACCTTGAGCTCACATCACTTTATTTTGGCCTCCCCCATTCCAATTATGGTTACAAAATGCTAATTTCTTCTATTGTAGTCTCTCTCTCTCTCTCGCTCTCTCTCTCTCTCATGCACGGTAGATGCTATAAAGCCTGGGCACAAGCAAGATTGCTTGAACATATTGTAACTACTTAAAAAAAGAAGAAAAAGAAGCTACATTTTCTAAATCTTTTATGAGGCTTCATGGATGTTGTGGGTTCATTGTTCGGAGGAGAGCTTATGCAAGCAACTGAATGATAGATTAATTTGTGATCCATCTAGTTAAAATGATTTCTTTTCTCATTTTCTATTTGACGCCCATGGCTAAAATCTATTGTATCTAAAGAGTTTTATGGTTTTTTCTTTCTTTTTTTATAGTAGTGAGAATGCGAAATGGTGTCGCAAACAGGTTCCTCTCTGAGTGGAATGCCCCCATGTGCAACTTTTTTTGTTTAAAAGGTTAGAGTTCGGTTGATTTTTAAGGATAGTTTGGGATTCAAAATATTCATTTTTACTTGATTAAATTATCATATAATAAAAAAAAGTAAAGATTGTTGAGAATTACATTCAAACACAAATATCATGTCTATAAATGTAGTTATGTGTGTGTATTTATAGAGATATATGATAGGCTACTATCATTTTTCTTGGTTTGTTTTCAAATATGTAATTTTTTATTATTAATGAAGTTCACTCTTTGTTTGTACCATGAGAGGGTAAGCTTTTAAGAATGTATGAGGTACATGGCACCTATTTGTAGTGGTGTGCATGGTTCGACTTGTTCCAAGTTGATTTGTATTTAAAATTAGACCAAACCAGTTAACCATCACCATTATTACAAAATATGTTTTACACAATTCCAAATGGCTTATGTTTGTGTCGAACATGGCCGTTATGCCTTGATATGTGTCCAAACACTTAAAAAATTGTTCAAAGATTTTTAAGTGTGAAATTGGATTCAGTCACCATTCATGATGATTGTTGACCTCATTTTTTGTGAGGTCTTTTCTT